CTAACATAATATAACCAGTTTTGTATGTATGTCCAATGATGTATTCTCCTTTCTTCTTCTTACCAACTTATATATGAAGCATCTGTTTAAAAACGAGCTGATCCAAATTAAAATTGTGTGAGTAAATATATTTAATAACTCGATCGAAATAACTTTGGAATTTCGAGTTAGTCTACGACATCCAGGTATTCTACATCCCCACAACATTGTTATCACATTCGAATCAATTAGCAACATCATCTAATGAAAATAAATTATAAAGAAAATCAGGAAAAATAAAATTTATCCATTAAGATTCAAGGGTATCTCTTTGAGAACACCCGTTTTTGTCATTACAAATTACAACAATAGGAAGAGAACGAAATTATTTGCAAATATAATTTTAATAGCAGAGAAGATTTGTATCTTCATTGGTAGTAATACAACCTAGCTGATCCAAATTAAAATTGTGTGAGTATATTTAATAACTCAATCGATATAATGTTGGAATTTCGAGTTAGTCTACGACATCCAGTAAACATTGGACCAGCATAAATGTATTATTTTATTTCTCTTTCGAGATGAGCTACACGATCGAAGTTGCTATGAGGTAAGCCAGAGAGATACTATGAACAATCCCACCATTATGCGACGCGTTTCGCCGTTAGTTAAGCAGTTCATTAATAGGCAATGTGGCTTACAAAAATCATTACTTGATATGTTGCATTTATATCGATTTTTTAGGAAATTGCATTTACGAATTAAATTGAACCATGTCAAGGTTTGGACATTTGTCATAACACCAGAACGTGCCTTTTCTGAACAGTATTTACTTATCGAAAATGTACAGTATATGCTCTTAATGTAATAATGCCAAAAATATAATGTAAAAAATCTAGTATAAGGATGCTCAAAATCCCTACAAATAATTTGTGTGATCTTGTTTAACTCGTCCATCGATGCTGTATTCAAGTATTGTTTTTCTTTAATAAACCTCTTCTACAACTAAGTCCAGCTGATTATATGATCATCTGTCAAAACTTGCCCCTATTGTGATTTGAATTCACAATATGAAGACAAAAAACAACTTGGTAATGTCCAAAGCTTTTTAATAAGGGCATTCAGGCAGACCAGCTGCATATCAGCTGCTTTCATGTTCAAGTGTCAAAATCCATTATTGTGAATTGACTTGTATTATGAAAACGTAAAAAACGTCAAAATTTTTGACATCTATACTGAATAGAAAGTGGACTAGTTTGAGGAGGAGTAATGTCAAAACAAATTTTGACGTTAAACTTGGTCATGTCATAGCACAGTAAATAGAAACCCAATTAAGAAATGGCTTTCCACTTCATAACCATAGATCTATGATTCGTAATAACCTTCTGTAAATATTATGAACCTTCTGTAAATATTATGAGCATTAAATCTCCAGACAAAATTGAACATTTTTTTACAAAACGAAATAAAGAAACTCATCAAGAATTTTTTTGCAAATATCATGGGGTTGTATTTACAGTGGGTTCTATGGGTTTGAATTCACCATTTAATATTTATTTTTCTTAATCGGTTGTTAAACAAATTATAAATGAACTCCTTAATATATTTTCGGTAGGGGAGGAAAATATCCGTCTCATCTCGATTATAAATTTTATAGTTTGTTTGATTAAAAGAGCTATTTGCACTACTAATTCAGGTAATAAGGAAACTCAGCTGATTCTGAAGATTGGTGCCAATAGCAATTATTGTGAAATGACTTCACATTATGCATATGTACATAATGTAATATTTTGTGTTCAATAAACTTGAGATATAAAACCTTATTATTGCATTATGTGCGACATCTATATAGTTCAACCTGGAAGACCAGCTGATCAATATCGTTCTGTCAAAATGATCTATTTGGAATTAATTGTTTGAACAGTGCAATCACAATGGTAAATAAATTCTAGTTTATGTCACAATAAATAGATACTCCGTTTAGGGCAGCTGACTATCCGTGTAGTTTGTACTTGAATTCGAATTGCAATGGTGCCAATCACGAAAATTATTATTAAATAAAATTTGATACATCAGCTCATGGTACCATAAATGGGTAGTCCATTTAGTGCAGCTGAATATAAGATTTACTGTCAAAAAGCATAGTTTCTACCATGATGACTCGTTTACCTGTCGAAGGGTGTCAATTTGTTTTTTTTTTTTGATTTATTCGAATCTGCACAAATTCAAGAAAGTCCCTAGAAAATTTCAAGTGAAAATCTCAAGAACTCTTGAAGATGTAGCCGATTTATTGTGTCAGCATCAAGTGACGGCTGAAGGGCTTCAAACTCAAACTTTAAACGCGTTTTCTCCAAGCATAGGTTTATCGATTTGCAGGCACGATAACTCAACAACTAATGACCCAATCGATTCCAAATTTTTACACATTTCTCTGTGAGTGTATAGCTATCGTATGAACTAGGATAAAGCCAATCGGTGAAGATCTTCCTTATTTTTTAACTTGGATTGTGGTCAAAAATCTGCCATTTTCCAAAAAATATTTTTTTCAAAAGTCCGTCATTTTATTAATTTTAGAGTTGGAATTTTCGGATTCCGATATTCCAGTGAGGAGTTATCATGCCCACCATCAAAAATAAGGACTTTTCTTTAATTACAAAAAAAAAACAACAAAACAATAACAACAACAATTTTTTTTAAATTATGTTTCTTCTCTTTTAAATCTTCAAATATATATGTGCAAAGTTACAAACCATAACAAGCATTGGTATTGAATCTTGAAAAGTTAAAATTGGAAATCTTGAAAAATTAAAATCGAGAATTTAGAAATTAAGAACTCCATTACTACTTAGTACAATTTCGTTAACTAATTCTGGTTTAATATTAAATTTTATATTTTTTTTAAGAAACAAGAAACACCATTTTATGTTATTAGAATATTCTAAAAAATGTTTAAGTATTGGAAAAAGTATAACGATTTAGAAAAATTTGCGAAAATTGTGTATGTGTTTTCGTTTCGTTTCGTTTTTTTTTTGTATTTTTTTTTAAATTAATTGGCATGTTGTTGTTATTTCGTTAAGCATTGTTTATGTAATTGTTGTATTACAGTTCCTTGTGTTAATGCTTAAATGTATTGTTAATATTATAGCAATAAAATGTATACAAGAAATTATAAACAATATTGAAAAATAAAACATAATTGGTTCAATATTTTAGGAATAACATTGTGTGTCCTTTCCGTCCATATTTAACACCCACCTTTTGTCCTCTGTGAAAGTTTCCTCAAACCAAGTCCAACTCGAATTTAGTTGTTAGTAAAAAAGTACACCAAGATTTAGCACTAGAAACTGAGCTTTTGTGAAAATAAAAATAGTGTATAGAACAAGAAATACAGCTACATAGTCTAGTCGACACTTACAACAAACAAAGTTTTTGTATAGAACCAAGTGTATAGTATGTGTCCCCTTCAAAGAAAACAAAAATAGCTGCTTTTTGGCTTTTGTATAGATACTTGTAAAACCCGAAAAAAGATCCTTAAAAAGAAAATGTTATCCTCCAATGAAAAACAAAAATCCCAAAATGTCCCCTAAAAATATGCAATACATTTCAAAACGCCCAAAATGAAACGCTTTCAAGTAGACTGACTACCACTACCAAAAATAAACCACAACAACAAATGCAGCTACAACATAACATTTTCAACTCTCTGTTAACCCCTACCCCCACCAAAATGCCTATTTGCTATCTCTGTTATACCACCACTACCACCACAATTTGCAAACGTAAAAAAGAAAAACTAATCTAACTACAATTCCAAAAAAACATTACTCCAATCCAAAAAAATATTAAACTCAACTCAAAAATCCTTTTGGCCGTGGCGTGGTAAATATATGTAGTGGAAACCTATATACTTAATTATATATCAGTAGTAATGTTCTTAATTTAATTTCTTAATTTTTCTAGTCTTTGCAAAACAAAAGGCAGCGACAGAAAGACGAATTTTGCTACCAACTTTATTTTCTATATTAAGAAAAACCAAAACAAAAACAAAAATTTTATATTTATTTGATATTGATGTACATGTTTGGCTGTGTTCTCTTTAATCTATCCCCCCTTTTTACCCAGAACAATTGTACTCCCCCTATTTTGAAGCTTTTCATGCCTAAGCCTTATTTAGAACCCTCCTTAGATTACCTCCTTTTCAAAGCTCTCTAAGTAGTATTAGAGTCTCTAGATTATTTACTTTAAATGCTGTTTTCCCCTCTCTCTCCCTCTGAAACTTTTTGTTTCCCCACCTCCAACCCCCTAAATGTAGCTCTATATTTTTCTCTCTATCTCCGTGTATCCTCTGTTTCTCCATAACTGATTAATTGTATAACACAAAAATTATTTATATTTAAAAAATTCTATTCTAAAAATATTTATTTTTCTAATAAATCAATTAATTAAAATTTAATCTATTAACAAAAATTTATAAAATATGTTTTCTTAATTTGCCATAACAAAAACCTATTGAATATAAAATTTTTTATGAACAAAAAATACAACAAAAAAAAAACCAAACGAAATTTGTTTTATTCGATTTTTAATCGATGAAAAATTCTTTTTCTTTTTTTCTTCTTCTATTTTTTATGTATGATTTTTATAAATGTAATAACAAAATCAAAAAAAAAACAAACTATGTGGATTTTCAAAATTTTTTCTTAACTTCCAAATAAAATATAACAAAATTTCCAAACCAAAAATCCATTAAATTCAATCAAAAACGAATGCCTATCTTTCTGTGTGTGATAAAATCTCAAATTACTAATTAATTGTTTGCCTCACTGTGCAACATATTGTTTTCTATTTTTTGGAAAACATTTTCTTAAACCCAACCCCACACCTAATTGAAATTTAAACTTACTTAAAATGCAAAAAAAATGAATTAAATGCCTCTCAAAACACTGAAACTAAAAATCAAAAAAAAAAAAATCCAAAAACATCCTTGTTCTCAAAAAAACACAACCATGAAAATGACAAAGATGATGTTCCAGGCAAGGTGGACGAAAAGGCGACACAACTGCATGCTATTGCCTCCCTCAAGGTGCTATTGGATGCAACAAAACCGCAACGGGGTGGTGCCACAACATCGGCTGCCAATCATGTGAAAATCAATTTGAAGGAGACCACACTGGCTGATCGTCCCAATGGCAATATTGATACAACATTGGACTCGGTGAGTACACACAATTTCAATATTTTTTCTCAATACATAAAAAAAATGTTATAAACCACAAAGATATTTAAGAAAAATATATAGCATAAGTTTAGACGTTATCAGAAAATTAAGAAAATAGAAGCATAATTTTATTTAAACAAATAATTAAACAAATTATAAAAAGTGCTTCTATTTCAATATTAGTTTATGACCATAAATTAATTAAATAAATTAGGAAATTTTGTTTTAAAAACCCCTATTCTCAAACGAAAAACTCAAATCAAACTAAATCATCCAAAACTCTTTAAAACGTCACACAATATCAACTGCATTTTTTCAATACCAAAAATGTGTTTTCTAAATACTTATTTTATTTTCATTTTTTTTAATATTTTATATAATTTTTTGGAATAAATATCTATTAAGTTTTTAAATTTGGTATTGTATTTTATGGAATAACAACTCGAAACTTTCTTCATTTAATTTGAAGCGAAAACAATTTGATGTATTTGTTTTGAGTGTCAGGGTATTGGTTAGACGATAAAATTATAACTCCGTTATATCAAATATGTGAAGTAAGCCCATAGGGATTAAAAAATTATTGAAAAATAAAATATTTAATGAAAACTTAAATGCAAATTTTAATAAAAAAAGCTTTCTTCATACTTTTTCAGGTTCAAAAGATTGGTTTTTTATATTAAACCATTTAGATAAATGTCATAATTATTTTTTAAAAAAACTATTTTTGTTGGATTTCCTTTAAGTCCACCTTCTCAGTTATCCTTGATATTTCGGTCATTAATGAAATGTTTTCTCAGTTTTTTTTTTCTTCAACATCCACATGACCCAATTAGTTTTCTGTTTTTCATTTTATATTTGTTTAATTATTCTTTCAATATGAAGGAGGACATAAATTATTATTTCATATCCTTCGATGAGCATTAAAATTATTTTCATATTTTTGTTGGATTTTATGAAAACAATTCAATTGTGAAAGGGTATACGTTAATGACAAAAAGAAAACATAAATTATGGAATTATTTTTTTACATCACGTAAAGCTCCACATAAAAGCATTCTACAGAAGAACTTTAAATGTTCCATATAGAATAGAAGGCCTTATCCTCTACATGCTATAGAATAGTTTTAGGTCTTCTATGTGCTATAGAAGAGCTTTAGGTCTTCTATGTGCTATAGAAGAGCTTTAGGTCTTCTATGTGCTATAGAAGAGCTTTAGGTCTTCTATGTGCTATAGAAGAGCTTTAGGTCTTCTATGTGCTATAGAAGAGCTTTAGGTCTTCTATGTGCTATAGAAGAGCTTTAGGTCTTCTATGTGCTATAGAAGAGCTTTAGGTCTTCTATGTGCTATAGAAGAGCTTCAGGTCTTCTATGTGCTATAGAAGAGCTTTAGGTCTTCTATGTGCTATAGAAGAGCTTTAGGTCTTCTATGTGCTATAGAAGAGCTTTAGGTCTTCTATGTGCTATAGAAGAGCTTTAGGTCTTCTATGTGCTATAGAAGAGCTTTAGGTCTTCTATGTGCTATAGAAGAGCTTTAGGTCTTCTATGTGCTATAGAAGAGCTTTAGGTCTTCTATGTACTATAGAAGAGCTTTAGGTTTTCTATGTGCTATAGAAGAGCTTTAGGTTTTCTATGTGCTATAGAAGAGCTTTAGGTTTTCTATGTGCTATAGAAGAGCTTTAGGTCTTCTATGTGCTATAGAAGTGTTTTAGGTCTTCTATGTGCTATAGAAGAGCTTTAGGTCTTATATGTGCTATAGAAGAGCTTTAGGTGTTATATGTGCTATAGAAGAGCTTAGGTCTTCGATGTGCAATAGAAGAGCTGTAGGTCTTCGATGTGCAATAGAAGAGCTTTAGGTCTTCTATGTGCAATAGAAGAGCTGTAGGTCTTATATGTGCTATAGAAGAGCATTAGGTCTACTATGTGCTATAGAAGAGCATTGGGTCTTCTATGTGCTATAGAAGAGCATTAGGTCTTCTATGTGCTATAGAAGAGCATTAGGTCTTCTATGTGCTATAGAAGAGCATTAAGTCTTCTATGTGCTATAGAAGAGCATTAGGTCTTCTATGTGCTATAGAAGAGCATTAGGTCTTCTATGTGCTATAGAAGAGCATTAGGTCTTCTATGTGCCATAGAAGAGCATTAGGTCTTTTATGTGGTACAGAAGAGCTTTAGGTATGTTATATGCTATAGGAGAGCTTTCGATTTCTGGATTTTCTATAAAAAGAGCTTAAAGACTTTTATGTTCTAAAGAAGAGCTTAAGGTCTTATATCTGCTACTAAAAGCACTAGATTTTCTATAAAAGATCTTTATGCCTTATATATTATATATAAAGGAACTTTTGGTCTTAAATATGATGTAGGGCTTCTATGTGCTATAGAATAGATTTAGTTCTAATATATGTGATATCAGAGCTTTAGGTCTTCTTTATATATTATTATTATTTATATATTATTATTATTTTTAGAAGAGGTTTACATCGTCTATAGGCTATAGAAGAGCTTTAGTTATGCTATAGAAGAATTACACCTTATACGTGCTATAAAAGAGCTTTATAAATCTAAAAGAAGATCTTTTGGTTTTATATATGTTATAGAAGAGCCTATGTATTATCTTCCACATGCCATAGAAGAGCTTTAGGTTTTCTACATAACAAAGAAGTGCTTTGGTAATATCTTTAATTCTTGTTTAATTATACCTTCTCAGATTTTCTGCATCCCTCCTTTTGTCCGTGGTTTTCTGCCAGATGAGAACCCTGGATATTATAGCAAAACAAGTGAAATACAAATACCAATACAACATTCATTTGCCACACTTCCCTATCTCCTCCATAATAAATATAGAATATATTTATATGGTGTGAATGAAAGAACGTTCAAGGATATGCTTTTAAATTAAAAAAAAAAAAAAACACAATTGAAACCCAGAGAGCAGAACACAAATTCACGCACTGTAAAACAAATAGAACGTGACACCTATGGCATATGTTTAATATGTCACATAGATTTATGACATTTACATTGTTGGGCTCTGCGTTGTTTAATTGACACTAAAAATGAGAACTCTCTAATAATTTACAGCATATGAATAATAAATGCAAATAGAAACTATGCAGTTTTACAATATTTGTACAAAATTCTAATAATCAAACACACACACATATGTGTGTGCATACATACATATATATAAGCATTATGTGTGTTTGTCATTTTTAATGCATAGCCTTACCTAGCTATTTTCACATTTAGATAAACCGAAATTTTGTTTGTTGTATGCGTATCGCCGCCGCGCATTTTTGTGTTTTGTGGCATCATTCCATGGCCAGCCAGCCATCCATCCGACCCGCCACCAAACAACTAACCAAACAGGATCATTGAAAGTGCACGTGTGTTTGTGTACCCTTTTTTCTGTTATCAAAACCACTGCAGCATGTAAATTCAATTACGTTAATTGCTATTTGCATATCGGTCGCCTATTGCCATCGATATTTTTGCCACAGTCGCATAGAAGGCAAAAATATTGTTTTTCGTTCGTGTTTTCTCTTGTTGTTTTTTCAGTTGATTATTTGCATAATTAAGCTGAGTTCAATTGAAAATGCAAAGCTTTCGCTGACTGGTTTAAATCCACAAATAAAGTGCAAACATACATTCAATTTGACTGCATGTCGCCAAAACGAAGAGTCATTAGGATTTCAAAATCAAAGGAAAACATGAATTAATGAACTTCGAAAAAAAAAATATTTGCAATTATTGAAAGTTGAAATTAGTGATGGTAGTGGATGTTTGTGGAGGAATGTAATAATAATTTCAAAAATATTTTCTAGGAATTTTAAAGAGCTTTTAGGATTTTTACTTTCATAAAAGAGCTTTAGGTTTTTTATATTAGGTATAAGATACATTCGGTGTATTATGTGTAGAGATATACCTACACAGAAGAGAAGAACTTTATGCCTTCTATATTGCAAGGAAATTTTCTATAGAAAGGCATTTATTTGTCTGTATTACTTAGCAGAGCACTAGCTTTTGGTCTTCTATATTGTATAGAAGAGCTTTAGGCATTCTATATTGTATAGAAGAGCTTTAGACTTTATATAGAACAGCTTTTCTATATAGTATAGCAGAACTAAAGTTCGCTATATTATATAGCAGAGTTTTGAGTGTTCTCTATTCTATAGAAGAGCTCTAGAAGAACTTAAGGTGTTCGATATTATTGTGAAGAGCTGCAGTTGCTCTATATTTTATTGAAACTTTAGATTTATTATATTATCTAGAGGAAGTTTTGGTCTTCTGTAATATATAGAAGGTCTTCAGGTCTTCTACACTGTATGAATTAAAAAAAATAATCATTTTCCATTTATTTAATATATAATTTTTAATTATTTATTATTTCCCTATCGTTTCTCCCCATTCATATTAAGTGTTTCCTGTTCCTTAGATCATTAACCCCAATGAATCTGTGTGCATTTCTGTGCTGCAAATTTTCGAAATATTAATTTTGAAAAAAAAAAAAAATAAATGTGTGTGTTTTGTTTGTTTGGTTTTATTTCCCCAGAAAAAAATAAACAACTTTATGTTATTATAATTTTTCAATGCAACGATTATGTGTGACTAAAATTTCCCAAAGAAAATTATCTATCAATTTTAATACTAAATAATATATTTAATATTTATACTACTATTATGATGTATGTGTATGTCCTTTATAAAGTTATAAAAATAACAAATTGAAGAATTTTAATAAATTGTTTAACTGAAATAACATTAAAAAAACTCAGTTTTTAATGATCAAAGTTATGCCATCAAATTGGGTTTTTTGTTTCAAAAATACTATAACAAATATTTAGTTCATTCAATATGTGTTACCTATTTGACGGCATATACATATCTATACTATCTCTTTATCTCTTATCATATTCACACCACTTGAAAAACACATACATATCTATATATTTTTTTCTTTGTCACTGTGACTGTTGACACTTCTTATTTTTATATAAAATATTTATTTTATAGTTTTAAAAAGTCCATCCTACCATCCTCCATCCACATTGATTTAATTTTAATATTATTGTTATTTTTTTTTTTTTAATTTTAAACTTTCTGCCTTCTTTCTACTTCTACTCTATATTCTTCATTAGAATCGAATCAAAAATCGAATACAAAAAAATTACTAGACCTAATTCGGAACGTTTGTTACTTTTTTCCTTTATTTGTTGTTGATCACATATCTCCTAATTAATTGTGTAATAATTGGTAAATTATTTGCTTTGTCTATCTTTGGGTTAAATAAATTTACGTAACAACAAACATATATTTTGCAAAATAAAAAATATGTAATTTTTCTATTTTATTTTATCTTATTTCTATCTTACGGAATATTTTCTGTTCTTTCAACATTTCATCAAAATCGTTTTCGAAAATAAAAAAAACATCATAAATAAAGGCATAAAATTGTGTAAAAATTCGTACAAAAAATTCGCTAATGGTTCATTCGAAGGCGATACTCATCGAAGCACCTTAAGAAATTCTCAAACTCAAATGGGTAATTATAACAAATTATAACTTTAAAATAATCTGGAATCATTTTGAACGCAAGGAAATGTGGTTCCAATTCCGTAACCTGTTGAGTATCCGTTTGTTATTTAATATGAGCGTGGCAACAGGCACAATCATAAAGAAGCCTTCAAGAGGTATCGGAAGAGTTTTCTTTTCTGCTTCTGGAAGTCTTTCGAAAAGATATATAGTAGGTGGACTAGAAGAGCATGACATTTACTATTGTGTCGATATTTTCTCCTTGGACCTTGAAAATGTATGGTGGGTTCACGAAAGCTTCTCAACAGGCCGTACCAATATCCCCACCATATCTCAAAGATTAAGAGATTCTAGTCCATAGACTATGGGTACTCTGCTTGCGCAATATCCATACACCAGCATGGGTGTGATAAAAGGTGGCCTTGTTTCTGAATTGCTAACATATACCGCAGTACCATATGTTGGCAAACACTATCCTTCTCCGTATCTCAAAACTGATGTCATTTGTTTTGTTTATGGCGATACCGAGGTAGATGAAATCTCTGCCTACCTCAAAGCTGTAGTTATCAAGTTCAAGCTCAAGTTTCTTAGAGGTCCTTTCCGACTTTAACAGCTGATCTTTTCAAATCCGTTCAAAAGTGGCTGTTACCGCTCATTATACTCGACCCAAAAAAAAGGGCTCAGAGAGGTCATTTCCGACTTTAACAGCTGACGTTGTGCCAGTTAATGTTATCCTGCATAGCCTTATAATTTTTTAAGGAATGTCGAAAACTGGCGTGGCTTTAAACACATCTGAGCTGATTGGGTTGTCGAATGCGGCGTTTTCTTATCCGTTGAAAAGTTTCTCTTACTGCTCGTTATGCTCGAAAAGGTCACACGGCAAACTATAACCTCGGCATTGAAGGGCTCTGAGAGGTACTTTACGACTTTAACAGCTGACGTTGTACCAGTTAAAGTTATCCTGCATAGCCATATAAATTTTCCAGGAATGCCGAAAACTGACGTGGCTTTAAGCACATCCGAGCGGATTGGGTTGTCGAATGCGGCTTTATTTGTTAGGGTATCTTCTTCACCGCTAATATTTGGTACCAGAAGCTTTGCAAAATGTTCCTTTCATATGATGAGCAATTTTAATAATGTTTTATTTATAAAATGAACTCCTATAGTACTTTTGTTAAAATTCTTACAAACTACTTTACAACTTAAGTTATATTTGTTTTCTGCATCTTAAGTTTATATAGTTATCCTTATGTAATATTTTATATACAGTGTTACGTGTCGTTCGTCGGTTACCGTCCGTTCCCATGTGTATCCTATATGCATCTGTCACCAGATTTCCTTTTTCATCTGTACCATGGCATAATGAATAGGTAGTTCATTTAGTGCAGCTGATGTATCGATTAACTGTCAAAGTGCGTAATTTCTACTTGCATTCGATGTGCAATGTTGCCAACCACGTGAAATATTATATGAAAAAATTGGACAGAAGGTCGAGACAAAAACATAGGTTTTTGTTGTGATACATCACCTTGTTATTGCATCATGATCTGTACAGTAGAGCTGTAAAAAAATCGATGACAATATCGATAGTATCGATTCTTTTTTAAAATTGAATATCGATTGATAGTTTTGGCTATCGATATTATCGGACAAAATAACAAAGGTTAGGTTTTGCCAATACGCCAATATAATTTGCGCGCCTTTTCAACTTTGTGTTTGTGAAAAAGAGTATTGTAAAATACGTATTTTTGACAAAAAATAAATTGGATAAATATGTAATTATAATACTGCCGACAGTAAATACGCATTGACCCTTAAAAGTATTATCCAAAGCCGAACAATATAAATTAGCTTAGAAGCACGTACATTTTTCAGAAACGCGAAAAAATTACAACAATATTAAAACCACTGACTGTGGTTCTCTTTGAAGCAGGGCCATCTGATATTTAATTTCATATGTGATTTATTTTCAGTCCCAAATGAGATTTGCGACACAACCAAATGTTCAAAACCAGGAAAAAGTCTACAATGTGTTACAAAAATTATTAATATCATTGCTTTAACTAAAGCCAAATTATACATACCTTCAATTCTGTATTTGTGGATTCGGCATTTGCTTTTTGAATCAATAGTGCTGCGCCTGTGTGGTTTTATTAATAAATCGTTTCTTCTTAATATGTTGTTTGTTTCTTCTTTATATTTCTGCAAAATTTCAACAAACACAAAATCTGTCATTTTCATTCCCAAATAGTGGTGGAAAATTACCGATAATATCGATAGCAATCGATAGTTTGAAATGTAATATCGGAACTATCTAATGTTTGGAATATCGACGTTTTTACAGTACAAGCCCTCGGTTTGGTGTTTTACTTGCTGGTAAAATTTCCCGACTTCATTCTGACTCCTGTACGTCTCGATTTGCTCACGCTCACGTTTTTCTTGTTCTTATATTTTTGGCATTTATTGTGGTATATCCCAAAAACTATAACTTTTAAATTTGATATGGTCCATGGAAGCACTTCTAAATAAGGAAATAACTAAAGTACGTTGTGTATTCAGAGAGGGCATTAATATTTAACACTGAATAATTTCAACCATTTTTTACACAATTTTATGCCCATCTCCAACTGTCATTTTTTCACAAAACATTTGGTAACTCATTTTCATAAGCGAAATTTGTTGTTGTTTGTTTATTATATTATTTTTTACTTTTTATAAAAAATCTATGAATAAATTTTGCAAATGCAATTTCCACTTGAATCAATAATAACAAAAAAAATAGTTTGAAGTGCATCTGTGTATATGTTTGTATGCCATTTTAAAAATTAAATAAATAAAAACAAAAAACTGTTACTGGAAAGCTTTCAACACTTCAATTGGTACAACGAGTATTTTATTGAAATCCAAAAACAACAATGCTTCTTTTTCGGTTAATAATGTAGTTTTATTTTTGATGTTTATATGTATAATAGAATTATTGCGAAAATGAGAAAATAAAACAACTTGACAAAGCAAAAAAGGAAAAAATATAATTTTATTTCATATTTTTATTTAATTCGATAGGTTTAAAAAAACGAATTTTAAACATTTTTATTTATACCATTTTTCAATACGTTTCCGAGTTGGGCCTACTCTACTCTATCTCTCCCGCTTTTTTCAAATTGGCCTCTATTTAAATATTACAAAAATCAGGCAAATTCTATTCTGTTACAAAATTTGTAAACCAAAATTAACCACTACTTTGGAATCCCTCTTTCTCCCCGCTACTCTTTCTCTTTATCTTCTACTATTTATCGAAATAAAATTCTTAACCCCCCTTTTTCCCGATTTCTTTATGTTATTAATAAAAAAATATTTTTTATTCAAAAAAATCTAAATAACAATTTTAAATAATATTTTCAAATATCAATTATAATATAATTAAGATATAAAATATTATTCTACAACTTGTTTAAATATCCAAATATATTTTTCTTCTTCTACACGTTCGAATACCAAAAAATCTACTACTCCACTTATCTTCTCTGACAAAAACAAAAAAACTGAATACCGAAAATCGAAACCAAAATTTGTTGAATTTTTTGTCGCCAACCAACTAAAAAAAAATTAACAAATTTAAAGCCATCGTTAAGTGGTCGTCGTGCGAGCTGGATAGATCAAAGGGTCAAAATTCAAACGCGAAAATTTAGCATCAAAGTTAGTTTCACATTTATTATTACTTTTTTTAACAAATTTTTTTACTTAACTTTATTAGCTTTTAAAAAATATTTTGTTTCTTGTAACATTAATTTTGCCATTATTATAAATTTTTTATAGCAATTATATTTATTTTTTGTATTGACTGCTTATTAACTAAGCCAAGCAAAACCAAAAAATACCAATTTTTAACAAATTCCCAATCTGCAAAGAATTTGTTAACAACATGAACATTTTGTATAGAAACAAAAAACAAACAAAAACTGAATTTGAAACCGATTTATTTTTTGCTCTTAGCTAATGCTTCCTTTATTATTTCATAGCCAACAAAAATTTAAATAATTTATTCTCTTATTATTTATTTAGCCATCATCATTATTTTTTTTTTTTTATTTTCTCTCTAATTTCAAATTCATTTGAATTCCAAACCACAAAAATACATCTCAACTTTTTGATGTTGTCTTCCATGAAATCAGGACTCTTGAGTAGACAAGTGGTCCCCAGATTTCCACTTACCTTTGTGTTTTTTTATTTTGTTTTTTATTTAAATTGTCTTCATGGTGTTTTAAGCATAACAAAATCTAATTTGTAAATGTATTGGCACCCAAAACCAAACAACCAATCAAACTAAAAATATACAAATAATAAGTAGCAAATAATTGCCGTGGCTTTAAATGTTGTTATAATTTGTTAAACAAAAAAATTCGTAGAAAACTTTGTAAATACACATTTTTGTCTAAATTGCATGCTTTTATTTGTAAAAATTACAAATATTAATAGAAGTTGAAAAGAGGGAAATCTATATAAGCCAACCAAAGCCGTTTTCCAATAGAGGAACGACATGGAATTGAAACATTACAATGTCACTGCAATGCTTATATGAATTTTCACTAATACAATTAGTTTTAATCAAGAATATACCATAAAATTACTTCAAACATAATAAGGAAATTGAATTGAAACATTAAAAAATATTTCAATAGTCCATACTTGTAAATGAATATAAATATTTATTTAAAAAATAATAAAAACGACCCTTAAAAATGGAATGTTGCGGTATTGAAACATATTTTTCTGCAACTTTTACATGTATATATTGTTAGTAATACACTTTTTTGGGCAATATTTTCTTCAAAAAGGAATGACAAAATGCAACATTTATTCGATTATACATTATATAAATCGAAGATTGTGGGTGAAGATTAATTCCAAAATAATGCGTATTAACAATTAATACTAATAACAATTATTCATAGACTAAATATTTCGCTAACATAAAATTTAAATTAGAAAATTATACATATACTGACTTTACTTAGCTGGCTTGTTACAGAACATTTGTTCCATAATCCGAGCTTAAAAAAGATTTCCTGGCGCCTTTGTCGTGTGCGCAGCTCATCTAATTTGAAAGACCATGTTCCAAGATGTTGTCATCCACTTGATCTTTCCATCAGAATCGCGTGAAACATCAGTTGGCTCGCTTTTATATGCATTTTGAGCTATTTGAGCATCCTCATTCATTCTGACGACGTGACCTAGCCAACGTAGTCGCTGCAGCCCGATACGTCCGACAATGACAATGTCTGAGAATAGATTGTACAACTCATGGTTCTTACGCATATTAGCCCATAGATCTGCCGGATAATTTTTCTCTCAAACACTTCAAGAGCTACCCATTCGCTTGCTCAAGTACCCATGTTTCAGATCCATATAACAGCACGGGTAGTATCAGCGTTTGGTAGAGTGTGAGTTTGATCTGGCGAGAGGTGGCCTTGTTTCTGAAACTGTAGTTTTCATGTTCCACATTTGGTGCGAGTGTAGTGTACGCGTTGATAACATCTGTTTGGTCTTCTCGCCATTTACTGCCTGTACCACTTTGACAGACTCCTTCTCAATTCGTTCAAATGTGGCTGTTGCCGCTCGCAATGTCCGACCCATTCGATGTCGATGTCGTCGGCGTTGGCGAGTAACATATGCTGTTTAGTGTATAGAATGTCATTTCTCTCAGGATATTAAAAAGGTCACACGTCACCTGTCTGAATCCTCGTTCGGTATTGTAGGGCTCCGAGAGGTCCTTTCCGTTTTTACCTTCCGTCTGACCTTGTACCAGTTAAAGCTATCCTGGATAGTCGTATTATTTTGGCAGGAATGCCGAACGCAGACATGAATTTAAACACCTCTGAGTGGATTGGACCATCGAAAGCGGTTTTAGAGTCGACGAATAAGTGGAATGTATCGATGTGTTTTTCCTCATTGGCTCATTGGTCCAATAATGTCATTGATTATAGGCCTCAGTCGTTCACACAGCCTTAAGAGACTTATTCCCCTTTATATAGACCCATCATTAGAAGTCCTTTCACCTTTATCTCTGCCATTATCATCCAGCCAATGAGATTTTTCTTAATCAGTATCTTTCGTTCTCCGTGATCTCGATGGTTTATTTTTCCAGGGATAAATACTTTGGAAATTATCGTTAGTTTAGTTTTGTTCTGATGACGAATAGATCGTTCCAACATTTAATTTATGCCATCTAGTTCAATTTTCACAGCGCTTCCAGAGGGGTGAGGACACCATTCATTTTTATGTTCGGACCAAAATTCCAAGGTCGGCATGCAATAGAAAAAATTCGAATTTACAACGATGTATATAATATTGGTCGTATATTTACCAGCCAACAGTAAAGTGATTGACTGACTGACTGATTTAACGATTCATCAACGCCCAGACGAAACGGCTGAAGCTAGAACCTTCAAAGTTTGGATGAGGGTCACTCTTGGTCGAAAGGTGACAGATAAGGCAGGGTTTTTGGAAATTCGTACTAGAACGGTACACAAATTCCAAAAATACACTAAATGTCATACCATTTGTATTTGGCGAACCGGTAGATCTAGAACTCTTAAATTTTAAATGAGGGTCTCTGATGCAGTGTAGAATAGATATAGCAAAGGGTATTTTGGACATTCGAACTATAAGTATGCGAAAAGTACTAAAATGTACTAAATTTAGTACAATTTCGTAGCATGTGAATGGATAGAGCTTGAAATTGGGAATGCGAATAATGGTCGGCTTTCCAAAATTGTTTTGTTTTGTAGAATGGAAGTCCCCTTAATCTCCTTTCGAGTATTCTGTACCGGACTAAGTTGTTTCATCGTTAGCGGTTGGTTCCTTCTCATTTGCAGGGGAAGTCTTTGTCATCATGTTTATTCACTCTGAAGTATCTCAACGTGGCTTCAGAAATATACGAAGCTTTTATGGACAACTGATTGTGCGTTACCCTTGGTGAACTCCATTCGTCTTCCATATTAAAAGCCACTTCTTCCACATTTTGTCTTCAGTTACGCATAAATCTAGTAGACTCATAGTATCTGCCTCGAAAAAACTGCAAAACTGCCTATATTATTTTTCACTTAGAACTACTTGAATTAATCTTAATTAGCATAATCTGGAACACACAATAATTTTATCATTGAATTCGCTATCCTAATAATCGAATTTAATCTGTGGAGAGTTTTCCCACTATGTCTGATAATCGTTGAATGTGAGATTTTATCTTAAAATAATGCAACTCCAAATCTCAAGCAACACAAATGTTTTATTCACAATATTTTGATTTTTGTATTAATATTTTTAATTTTTTGATTTATGTATATTCCCAAAAGTAAGCAATAAAATTATATTGCGAATCCTCCTAAGGCAATACTCCCAATTTGGATATAAACAAACAAATTGATTTTGTTCGTACGCCCTTATTGGAATCGAGCTCCATGACTCATGTATTTCAAAAGTCCAGTGAAGTTTCTCATCTTTCCCGATCTCCCTTCTGATTGGACATTTTAAAAGAAAATTGAAAGGAAATGAAACTATTTGTTTTCTTTTCATACACACATGCATACACTGCACTAGTACTCTACAGACCCAATTTTCTTGAATCAAAAATGATAGAACGTGTTGTATGGATGGACAAACATGAAAACAAATATCAATCACAGCAACGAAGACGACGACCATCAATTTCAGCCAAAGTTCCAAAGGAAATATATATAGTTCCACATAGAGTTGAAATCAAACATCTTTACGTGGTGGTTTTAAAGTGGTATTTGAAAAAATCTATGATAGCAAAGCTTGCTGGAATGATATTTTATTTCTTTTTGTTTTCGATGGTTTTCACTTCTCTCACAATTCAATCAGTTGCAATTCCTCTGCTTCGCCATTATTTTTTATAAAAGAAAAGAAAAAAATAATTACCAAGAAAACAATTTCATCTCCCTCACCATAACTGCCGCAGTGTTCTACGTATGACAGTATGTGCAGAATTCTTGCCCGCATAAATTTGTATTGAAACCAATAATATATATATATAAGATACATTTTCTTCTTCACGTATATATAATATGTGTTTGTGTATATATATATATATAAAAGGTGTTTGTGTGTGTATCCCCGGAAAAAGAGGTCAACTTGCTGTGTAGTCCATTCTTAAAATGACAATGTGTTGAAATCTATCTATCAAGCTCTTTGATGAAAATGAAAGAACGAAACTAAAAAATATTGTCTGTCCTTCATTTTTGCTGTCCTCATGTCTGCTCTGCTCTCAGATCTCCTTGAATGTGTACGTGTCCCAGCGATGGTGTGTCGTCGTGATTGATATTAAATTTAAGATAAATTCTTTTCACAACACATATTAACACATCTAGCAATTACACAAACACTCACGCAAACAACAATTCTTAAAAGCATTCATATAATAAATTTTTGAGAATGAGAATAATGGGGTGTAATAAAAAATGAATTGTGGCATGAAATAATAAAATTGAATTAAAATGAAAATAAAATTAAACAATGAAAAATTATATTATATTAAAACCTGGACCTATTTTTCCCATTTTCAATATAAAACATCAAATTAGTAGTGACAAACAAACAAATATCGTAAAAATGTAGCAAGGCTAAATCGAAATATATTTTTATACTGGTCAAGAATGTAATTCATATTACAATCC